GCCCCTCCGTTCTTCTCTCTTCGTCTCTACGTCCTCCTCCTCCTCCTCCTCCTCCTCCTCCTCCTCCTCCTCCTCCTCCTCCTCCTCTGGGGACCAGTGGTCCTTAGCCGTTCCTTGGTGTGTTTTGCTCTTTTTCTCGCCCCTCCTCCCCCCTCCCTCTCTTCTTTTCACTATCTACTCCTCTTCTGATCCGCAATCAGTCAACAGCAATCAGGAAGTCTGGCCGGCAGGAAGTATGCCTCAGAGTGTTATTTAAGTCTTCCCCTCCGTCTCCTCCTCTTGACTCGCTCTTTCCTCCTCTCTACTGCAGTCACCACCGTTTCCAACCTCTTCATGCGTCTGCTCTCGTTACCAGTCCCTCCCCACTGCCCTTGCACTGTCTTTCACCGTCGACTCTGACTATCCTAACTTATGTTCAAAGTAGCTTCCAATAGAGAAATCTGTCAAACTACCTTGATCTCTACACTTCGTTATACGCCCTGTGCTCTGCTCAACTTGACATTGAGTCTGAACATACTCTCTCGCTCTCAAACTCTTACCTCTGGTCCAATTCACTTGTCGTTCTCACTCGCAACACTTCAACGACAAATCATGAAAACTTGCATTTACTGAGGAGAAACTTAGGGCGTGTCAGTGTTCGCATAGCTATCGCACAAAAATTATCGATCACTGTGGTCGTCAAGGATACAATTTACAAGGTTTTCAATTCAAGGAGAACAAAATTTGAAGTTTTCCGAGAAGTTTTTTGGCTGTTCTATCAGAGACACGCCTTTATTCTCTCGTCTCGGGACACTTCACAAGGGTTCGACACTTTCAGGAACCATTCGATGAAAGTCTTCGAGATAGGAAACGTCTCCCCTTCCCCCCAAGCCCGGCAGCCTCTGCTGTCCATTCTCCCGTCCTCGTCAGACCCCATTGGTTCGTCCCTGCTACGTGCTGACAGCCCAGTGTTGATCTCCTCCTCCTTCTCTCCTTCCTTCTCCTCCTCCTCCACCTCCGAAGATGATCCGTCCTCAGCATCGTTCGATGGCTCGCCCGCATCTTCCTTCATCTGACCATCTCCCTCCTCTCCCCTCCCACGAATGTACGGCCACTTGGGCAGCCCGAGCTTCCTGCATGCCTTGCGCAGCGCAGTCAGTGAGATGCCCTGGAAGAACCAGGAGGTCAGTAGGGAGGGAGGAGGAGAGGAAAGTACCAGTTGGTTTGCCGCAATTTCCTGCTTGATGTCGAACAGTTTGAGGACGTAGGAGCGGGAGAGCAGGACAGGCTGCCCCCTCTCTTTCTGTCCTTTCTTCCGCCGAGGATAGATCTTTACTTGTGAAACGGCCGGCATCAGGTGACTTCTTGGCTCTTCTAGTATTCCTCTCCGAAGAGGATCACTGCGCTAGTATCTTTCTTCTTTCTCGTTCCTAGTCCGGTTGTCGCACGCTATGATCTGTGAAATAACTAGCATCAGCGTTATCAGAGCTGGAAGAAGGGGAGGGAGAGGCAGAAGAATTAGAGCGACACCGTTGAAGGATAGGAGGGGGATTCGGGTTGCAAAGATGAGCTCTATAGGAGGGTGCGGAGTGGGCGATGCTGGAAGGGCGATGTGAGAGGGGCCATGCAGCATGCGGGGCGCCTAACAGGCGTCCACGAGAGGAGCATGGCACAACACAGGCACGAGGCAGGTCGAGCAAGGGTAGAGAGCCGCTGAGGCATGCAGGGAGCTCTAGCGATGGGGGCGAGGGGAGTAGAGGCAGGCGTCAGCGGTAAGGAGAGACTGTTACGATTATAATGGCGGTAAGGAGAGACTGTTACGATAATAATAGCGGTAAGGAGAGACTGTTACGATAATAATAGCGGTAAGGAGAGACTGTTACGATAATAATAGCGGTAAGGAGAGACTGTTACGATAATAATGGCGGTAAGGAGCAGGGGAGCGAGGAGAGGAAAAGGCGAGGAGCTAGAGAAGGAATTGTAATCGTAACAGGCAAATGTGAAGGGGGGTCATCTGAATTTCCATAGGGAAAGAGGGGTACATTACCAAACCCTTCGTTTAGCAACGCTCCGTGCTCGCAGTGACTGTCACCATCGACCGAAAAGACTCTTTTTAGGACTAAAAAGAAAGTGTGCTGACAGGCTAAAACCATTTTATGTCAGCACGACACGTGAAAGACTCGCATCGCTTTACTCCACGTGACTTTCTGCCTGCAGACGTGTTTAGCAGGCCAGAGACATGCGTCAACGTGAAAGTGCGGAAGGAGGGGAGGGAAATGGCGGCAGATAGCGACGTGTTGGTCAGGTGCGGCGACAACAAGGAGGCAGGGGAAGAGACATCGTTGACAGAACCGACAACATAACAGACAACGTACACTCAGAACTTCCTTCATCAAAGCTTGTTCGCCTGACTGGATACTATTCAAATGTTGAGGACGTGGAGTTGGCCTCAGGAAGAGTGCATGAACAGAGAGGAAGAAGCGGCTGAGTCGAGGAGAAGGAACTATGGCATGAATAATGATAGCAAGATGGTGCTGGGCAGTGAAGGCAGTGCAGCAAGAAGCATGATGAATGATGCGGAAGCAATTCGAATGGCTCCTGAGAGGAAGTAAGGAGATGTACCGGCAAGAGTAGGACAAACGATCGACGGTCGGCAGAGGTGCAAGCGATGTTTGATTTCGAATCAAGACACTTCTCATACTGTTCAGCCCTGATCATTGTGGTTTACATGCTTTGAAATGCATTGCTATTATCTCCCTGTCTGCTTCCAAACTGTGACACGTTCTCCGAACCACATGCTCCCACACGACATGGATACTCCGCCACGACGAATTATGATACAATGAAGATCGTTTGACGCTGATCCCCTCCTGGAGGAGATGTTTCCGTGCTCTCCGCTTGTGGTTACAAGTCCTTACCACTTGTTGAACTTACTTTTTGTGAGTTGAACCAACGAATTATAGCCCATCGTGTGCATGTTGCTTTGCCCCTTGCCAGTGTTTTCCTCTCGTCTTCGTTTACGTCGCCCTCCACGTCCTCCACGTCCTCAACGTCCTCAACGTCCTCCATGTCCTCCACGTCCACGTCCTCGTCCTCGTCCTCGTCATCCTCCCGCCCCTCCTCCTCCCGCTCTCTCTTCGCCTTTGTGAGGCATCCGGCTCTTTTTTTTCAAGGATCTTTTTGGGGTCGCTTTTTTTTTTTTTGTTTTGGATTTTGCTTCTTTTTTTTTCTTGAGTTTACGAGTAGCAGACTTGAGTAAAATGATATCAAATATAAGGGCAGCAAAGATGTACTACATACCGTACTGAGTGTTTCAATTCGGGGTTCTGGGGGCAGCAAAAGGAGGTCGGGTGGGGGGAAGAGCAGGAAGAGGGGGAAAGAGAGAGGAGGAGAGGAAAAGAGGAGGAGAGGAGGAGAAAGAGAGTGAGAGGAGAGGAGAGGAGAAGAGAGGAGAAGAGAGGAGAGGAGAGGAGGAGAGGAGGATGGATTGAACGAGAAGAGGAGAAGGGTATAGGTGAGGATCAGGACCAAGCAGGACCAAGGATCCAGAGGTTTGCGGTGAGAACGATGGTGTTAGAAGAGGTAGGAATTTCAGAGGGAGGGAAATGCGAGTGCAAGAACTGGATTCTGTGAGATCGCGGGAGGGCCTCAACGAGAGCAAACGCGTCATCGTCCTCTAACGGAGGTGGGAGGAGCACAACAGGAGGTTGTTTGTAGGGTGTTGGGCTGTGTGCGAGGTGAGGAACATTCGCAACATCGGAGGAAGGAGATCTTTCTCTCCTCCCTTCCCGCCATGAACTTTGTCACTCGGCTACTGGATACCCACAAGGAGAGGGTGGCTGCTCTCAGGGGGGCATGGGAAGGGCCAGTGACTTACGACCCTTCGAACTTCTTTGACGCCATGAAGCCTCAGCTAGCACTGAGAGCGCATCAGTATGAAATCATTGCGATACCATGGTGCTACTTGTTCCTCTTCGATGACTGTCTCCTCTCCTCTCCTCTTCTCCTCTCCTCCACCTCTACACGCCTCCTCCTACACTTCGCCTTCAAGCTCATTCCTGCGGGCTTAAGATTACTCACCTCCTTTTCTTCATCCTAATTTTTCTCTCCAAACTCCCTGGGGACTTCCAACTTCCCTCCTTGTCCCTCGCTCCTTCCCTGCTGACATGCTACAAGGATGGCCACCACTGCCTTGACCATCGCATGGACGTCGCTCATCAAGATCCTAGAGCTGCTCAACTTCCTCCCCCCCCAGGACGTCGCACAACAAGAGGGCCTGACATCGCTTGAGAACAGTCTTACCTGGGTTCAGATCTGCATGACTTTCCTTCTTACCTTCCGTCTCAACCGTGCGGCAGTCCGCTACTACGAGTCCCGCGCCTTCGCCGGCAAGCTCGTGGAGCTGTGCCGATCGCTGGCTACCCACTGCGTGACCTACTACGGGGAGGAGGAGGAGGAGGAGGAAGGGAGGGATGAGTTCCTGCGGTGGATCATGGCGTATCCTGTCTCGGTTAAGAACTACCTTAGGGGGGAGGAGGGGAATGAGAGAGAGCTGCTGGGAATTCTTGACCATGCACAGGTCCATCCTCCCCTTGCCTTCTTGCTGCTTTTGCTCCTCCTCCTCCTCCTCTTTCTCCTCCTCCACCTCCTCCACCTCCTCTTCCTCCTCCTCCTCCACCACCTCCTCTTCCTCCTCCTCCTCCTCCTCCTCCTCCTCCTCCTCCTCCTCCTCCTCCTTCTCTCCCTCCTCTTGTCCTCGCTTCCCTTCCACCACCTCCTTCTCTTCCCTTTTGCTCACCGCCTTGTATCTACTTCTCGACCCTGCTCCTCCGGGCTCCTGCTAACGTGCCAATCAGATAAGGGGAATGATGGAGGCAAAGCATCAGCCCCTGTATTGCCTGAGCAAGATGCGATCGGCCGCGTATCAGCTGAGCTGCAGGACGGGAAGGGGGGACGTGATGGCTGCCATGACGTACCAGGTGATCTCCAACGAGGTCACGAGCCTGTACGGGGCCATGGGGGGAATGGAGAGAATCAACAACACGGTAAGGAAATGCAAAAGTTTCCAGCCACAACCACAACCATCACCGCTTCCTCCTCCTCCTTCTCCTCCTCCTCCTTCTCCTCCTCCTTCTCCTCCTCCTCCTCCTCCTCCTTCTCCTCTTCCTCATTCTCCTCCTACTGCTACTGCTATTGCTCCTGCTCCTGCTACTGCTGCTGCTACTACTACCACTACCACTACCACTACTCCCTCTCCTTTTGGTTTCCTCTTTCCTCCCAATCTTCCTATTCCTTCTTCCTTGTCTCCGTTTCAATCTTTATCATGACCTCCTCACCTTATACATTGACCTCCTCTCACTTTATACATGCCTCACTCACCAACTCTTTGCTTTATCTTGCTTGTCTCGTTGATCGCATTTCCTCCTCTCCGTCTCCTCTCCGTCTCCTCTCCTTCTCTCCTCTCCTGCTTCTGCCTTTCTCCTCTCCTTCTCCTCTTCCTCTCCTCTTCCAACTCCTGACAACCATGCTTAGCCTCTTCCTTGGGTCTACGTCACGCATCTCCGCCTACTCGTCATGATCTTCTGCATCGGCGTTCCCATCATCGAGCTCCCGCGGTCCTTCTCCTCCCTCACGTTCTCTTTCCTCCTCTCCTCTCCTCTCCTCTCCTCTCCTCTCCTCTCCTCTCCTCTCCTCTCCTCTCCTCTCCTCTCCTCTCCTCCCCCCTCCTCTCCTCCCCTCCCCTCCCCTCATCTCTCCTTTCCCCTCCTCTCCCCTCCCCTCCCCTCATCTCTCCTTTCCTCTCCTCTCCTTTTCCCTCCGCTCTCCTCCTGCCTTCTGCTCTGCTCTGCTCTGATCTGCTCTGCTCCTCCCTCCTCTCCTCTCCTCTCCTTTTCCCTCCTGTGTTCCCCGCGCAAACATATAAGTGAATGCGTCTATAGGGAGGCACAAAGGCGGCAGGTCGAAATTAGAAACTCAACGTGCGCGAAGAGCAAGAAAAAGTGGCGACACTTCCCAACGCAATGCGGGAAGGCAGAAAGTAAAAGTAAGCCGGGAGGTTGAAGAAACGAAGGGGCAAAAAAAAGCGCAGCGGCCGACCCATATCAATGAGGAAGGGGGGAACGGTCGAAAGCTAGTCAGAGCAGGGAGTCCTCGAGAGGCGAGA